AGCCCCATGTTAGCAATATGCCCTATTAGATCGACCTCCACGTGGTTCCCCCTGGAAACCATCGTGAACAATTCTTGTTGAATTCGTCACGATGGGCTATCTGACCTGCTTCATCCTCACCTGTCATCCTTCATTAGTGCCCCGCCGGTGTATACCGTTAGCACGGGTGGGGTTGCCATTACATTATCACCCATTAAAAAAAGCATTCGATACTATGACAACTATCAGCTGTCACGTATAGACAAATAGAATAAATATATAATGGTATTTTTATCGGTTTATTACATATTATTCCGCGTAAAACCCCTTAAAAATTGTCGACGTAAATTGCATTTAGTAATACAGAACTGAACAGGAGTACAAATAGGCCCTTTTGAGTTTATTTATGACCAAAAATTACGCAGAATATACATATATAAATGAGACATTATCGTTGACTGTTTGTTCTTATTTAATTAGATCATTATATATAAAATCGAAAAATCCTGATGAGAGATATTGTACAAAAGTCGTATACGTAGGTACATTTGTCTCATTCTATTTCTATCGTGAAGTAGCAGTAATTGATATATTTCTGTTTGAAGGGTGGCATCTAGAGTAATGAATTACAGGGAGACATTTTAGTTCTTTCCTCAGAATTGACAACGCATGAAGGGTATCATGGGCATAACAGTATATGATGTCCGTGGTACTCTTCGTGTCTATAGGCAACTACTTTTTTGCATGCAGTTTGTGTGCCATTTCAAGCACCAACATAGCCTTTTGCTTTATGCTAGCTGCACGCATATTCCTTTTTAAAAGATCGGCAGCACTCCTATAATTCCTTCGATGTTGCGGGTGGCCATGCGCGGCGATAGTCATTTATTTATTTATAGGATCACCAACATAATATACAGCGAAACATTTCAATACAATACACTGGCAGATTAGATCTAACTGTTCTTACATTTATAGGCAACCACAGCACGCCTCGTGTTTGGTAAACATTAAAAATTTAAAATCTTCGTTATTTATCTTCAAGTCAGCCGCCTATTTGGTTGCTCCTGTAGTAAAAAAAAACCCTTTTGTGAATAAAACTAACTCGAAATAATTCTGGTCATCATTTATTATACTTTTTGGGTAGTGAAATGACTCTAATTACACGAACGTCCATTTTTCGCTAATGTTCTCCGTTCACTGCAGTGCGGTGTCGTGTGAAACAGCCCTAACTGTAGGTAATTCGATTTAATCACTTTATATACAGTATAAAACATAGACAGACTCGGGATATATGACTGACGAGCATGGGTTTTACCAGAAAACATGTTATAAACTTTTTAAAACTAGAATAAGTAAACAAGCCAACACCTATTTTGTTTTATACCATTGAGGTGGCAAACAAACTGACGGTCCACCTGATGGAAAGTGGTAACCGTCGTCTATAGACATGAGCAGTACCATGGACGTAACAGAGTATACTGTTTCGCCCATGATACCCTCCATGCGTTGCCATTCCTGAGAACTCAGGTGTTATTCCTCTGTACCCAGTAAATTCACGCCATATCCCACCCTTTAAACCGAAACACAGCCATGCAAACACAACTGCTTCACGGTTGAAACACGAATGGGACAGAGGTACCCAAGCAATCGACTTTTGTACAAAGTCTCCCTCTATAACCTATAACCTTTTGTGAATACCAGGGGTATTACGACTATTATTGCCGACCCTGAAGAAGCCTCTTTACCCCTCTTTTTTAAGATCCCCATGCTGAAGTCTTTTGGAAAAACTTCGACAGGGAGCTTTTTCCACAACCTGAGCAATCGTGGGGGAAAACATCTCTGAAACCACGTTCTACGCGCCATCACCTGATGGAAATTGGTAACAGTGGCTTATTAAATTTGAACAGACAGTTTTGCAGGTTAAATTGTTCTATCCAGCAAACTTGTACTAATTTTTTTTTAATAATAGTATGACGTGTGCCTACAGAATTTAGAGTGAACACAGATACAATATGATCTATGAATGCGATCCAAAAAGAGAATGATTTACTCTCAACATTTGGTAGCACTATGCTGGCTCAATAAGTGTTTTTTCACCATAGTTTTAAGGATCAGAGGTATTTTTTTAAATAGGTGATAATGGAATGGTAACCCTGTCTGCGGTATTGGTATACGCAGGCTAGGCACTAGTGAGAGATGATGGGTGACAATCAAAGCAGGTCAGTTAGCTCATCTTGACGAATTCCACGATAGTTTCCAGGGGGACCGCGTGGAGGTCGACCTGATAGGGTGTATTGCTGGCAATGGGCCAGTTAGACCCCATTACTAACAGTTCATGTAATTTCTATATTGAGATCGGTACTTTTTTAGCAGTGTTTTTTTACCATCTGCGACTATGCGTGTAGCTAGGATTTTTTTGATTATCAGGGTATAGCCTTTTACATCCCAAACAATATATGTCCACAAAAAATATCGATTTTTTGAGCCTTTAAAACGAAATTCGCAAACTCATTTTTAAATTAATACCATGAGTAAAATAAACTTAAATAAAACAAACTAGTAAATCTTAAAGGGTTTATTTGGACTCTATCTAAATTTTCTCGTGATATCAAATGTTACGTCAAGAGTGATTGTGATCATTTATATATATGGTATTAGTATATGTTTCTTATCTATGCAAACAGAATCGTAGCCTTGAAGGTGATAGTATTGTCACATTATCACATTTTAATTCGTAACGACAGTCATTCATATTTTTTTTTTATACAACTTAGAATGGCAAACAAACTGACGGTCCACTTGATGGAAACTGGTAACCGTCGCCTATAGACATGAGCAGTACCATGGACATAACAGAGTATACTGTTTCGCCCATGATATTCCCCATGAGTTGCCATTCCTGTGGACTCGGGTGTTAATCCTCCGTACCCTGTAAAGTCACTGTCATATTTCACCTTTCATACCGAAACACAGCCATGCAAACACAATTGTTTCACGAATTAAACGAACATAAATAAAACACGAATGGGACAGAGGTGCCCAAGCGAACGACTTTTGTTACAAAGTCTTTCTATGGTAATTGATACTCTGTGATGCTCTTGGTAATCTCCTTCCTCATGGGTAGCCATTGCTTAGGACTAAGCATAGGGGGTATCATGGGCGAAACAGTATACTCTGTTATGTCCATGGTACTGCTCTTGTCTATAGGCGACGGTTACCACTTTCCATCAGGTGGGCCGTCAGCTTGTTTGCCATTCTAAGTTGTATAAAAAAAAATCACATATACACGTGAATTTTGAAACCATTATACTCCTTTTTGGAGTAGTCGTGTAAGACCAATAACCGTCAACTTTGATCTTCGCCATATAGATGTATAAGTCACGGGAATCAACGTGCTTGATAAATTAATCGTCAAATACTATATTCGTATATATAATTGTTAATGCTACAGTGATAACCTGTTATAAAAGTTCAAACTGATAACACACGTTTCAAATCACGACCCCCGCAGTGTGACATTGCTTTGCGTAAAGCTGCAGACATACTATCGAATGCGTTTCTCAGTCGCGGCTGATAGACGCGACCTGACGCTTTTGACAAGTGGCAAGCAAATATGTCGATGGAATCGACATTGCTAGCCAGTGAATGAGTTGCAATGGCACATCCGACGTTTTTCATTTTGTCTTACGAATTACCTGGCAATGTTAATTTTATAGATAAACTCGCTTACTATTTGACAAGAGGACCGTTCTGCTTTGGCTGATGGACGATGGACGAATTGTTAGTAATGGGGATCCCCCAGAAGCATTACTAGAAATATCAGGTCTACCTCAACGCTATTCTCACTGGAAATAGTCTTAGCTCATTCTTGTGGCATCTGTCATGTTGGGTAAACTGACCTGCTTTCGTTTTTACCTATCGTCCTTTACTGGTGCTTCTTCAGCTTATAGTGACAGTGCAGGTAGTATTAAAAATGAGAAATCGATGAGAAAATGATTAAAAATGGGGAAAAAATACGTGACCTTGGATCGTCCTTGGAGAATCGAACGTTAGACAAGGATTTGGCATGTTGGGTGTTTAGCACACACTCTTGTAAATCAACTAAATAGAAATAGTCGAATTACACACTGTTTAGTCGCGTCAATCAGTCGCGGCTGACGGACGCGTCCGATAGTATGCTGCAGCTTTAATGAGGTTCTGGGGTCGATCTGCAATCTAAATTGTTTTTTTTCTGATAGTTAAAATGGCAAACAAGATAACGCGCCGTCTGATAGAAAGTGGTAACGGTCGCCTATAGAAACAAACAGCAAGAACTCATACGTTACCATTCTTGAGGACTATGGGCTAATGCCTGTTGATTTAGGAATTGACTTGTTCTAAATTGCATGGATCTGGATGATGGTGCTAGAACGGACGGGGGGAGGGGGGGGGAGGCGGTTGTCACTAATAGACTATTTCTGATAATATGCCCAGTTAGGTCGACCTCTTTGCGGTTCCCTCTGGTGACCATGAGGTTATATTTTAATGAAATTTGTCACAATAGGCCAATAATAGGCTTCCGTATTCATCTATCATCTTGAAGAAGAAATTGAATTGAAATTGAGTGAAAATGAAAAAAAAACAGCTATTCGTAAGCTTATATATAGCTATGTTTCGATTGGAAGGGTGGTATATGGCAGGTAAATAATAGTTTACGGAGGCAAAACACCATTATCCTCAAGAATGGTATCACATGAGAGGTACTGTGGGAGTCGACTATGTATTCTGTGATATCCGTCATGTCATAAAAGACAAAGAGAAAAGCGGGTCAACTTTTTCATACAATTTTGCGTGATAAATAGTTATGTTTCCTTTATAACTTCTATATTTATTTTGTTTTATAATTTTTTTATTTACTTAATGTGTAATATTACATTTTATTCATTAAATAATTAAATATGGATACATTATGTACGTAAGTATATAGAATACTGATAATAAAACGAGTCAATTATTTGTCAATTAGCGGACAAAAAGTTGACCTGTTTTTGAGTCTCGATGCTCTATCTATATAATATGAGTTGCCTATATATATACATTATATTATTACGTATTTAGTTATGTTATCTACGTACTTATATAATTTAAATATAGTTGATTACATTTTTCAGTAACACTGTACGCTAATAATGGCATTTACCTCTTTTATTAATGAGTTAAAATCTAAATTATGGCATTAAATACGTGGATATCACCTTTTTTGATACAAGTAAGTACTTTTTATTATACTTATTATTAGGAATCACAATGAATTAAGAGGTCGGTGGTTTATCTATCTTTTTTTTTTCGTATAAATTTCATCAGTTCTAGATTTAATACAAATTTTTTGGTTTTACTGTGAAGCAGTTGTTCACAGTTGCAAATGTGTTTAGCCGTTTATTACCATATTATTAATTATTATTAAAAATTAACGTTATTATGTATTAGCTTTTACCCGCGACTTCGTCGGCGTGTCCAGGATATACTAGCCAGGTTAAAAGTAACCTTTTTCCTTCTCCACTCCATGTGGTACGTGTATCATTATAAAATTTGGTGTAATTTTATAGTGATTCTATAAAGTAACAAACAAACACAGTCTCTCAGGGGGGAAAGGGATTGTTAGTAATGGAGACTGAGAATCCCATTGCTAGTAATATACCTAACCAGGTCGCCCTCCTCGCGGTTCCCCCTGGAAACTATAATGGTTAATTCCTGATGAATTCATCATGACGGGCTAACTGGCCTGTTTTCATTCTCATCTATCACCCTTCACTGGTACTCCGCCAGCGTATCCCGTTAGCGCAGGCGGGGTTACCATACCATATTCACCCATCAAAAAAAAAAACACAGTCTCTCACATTCATAATATTAGTAAGGGTGTTGACAGAAATTATTAAAGAAATCCAAATGTATTTTTATTACAGTGCTTTGTGACAGCAGGAGTATCTATCAACATGTCGGGGATGGGCATGGTGATGGGATTCACTGCAGTGCTGCTGCCTCAATTGAGAAGTCCAGATTCTCCATTGCAAGTAGATGACTCGTCAGGTTCTTGGATTGGTAAGAGCTTCCATATTCCTGCTCATTATTATATTAAACCATAGCAGCTGTTAACAGTTCACTGCTGAACATAGGCCTTCACCATAAAGAGGGGGGGGGGGGGTGTTTGCTAGTAGGTGTCACGCTTAGCGGGCGGGTTGGCAACCGCAGTTTTTTTTAATGGATGATAATGGAATGGTAACCCCACCCGCGCTATCAGTATACACCGGCGGAGCACCAGTGAAAAGTGATAGGTGAGGATGAAATAGGTCAGTTAGCCCATCGTGACGAATTACACAAGAATTGTTCACGATGGTTTCCAGGGGGAACCACGTGGAGGTCGACCTAATAAGGCATATTGCTAGCAATGGGGCTGTCAAACTCCAATGCTAACAATCCCCTTCCCCCCTGGCAACCGCAGTTAGGCTTTGGTATGTTTTAAGAGGAATGCTGCTGTCCATCCCCCGACCGTTAATTTTTCCAAGTTACCTTTTACGACACCCACGGCAGAGAAGGGGTGGCCCATTCTATACTGGGGCACACTGGGATTACACACTACTTATCATATGATTCCAAAATCCTAGATCCAATTTACTGTTTACTCGTATACAAAAAAAACTGTAGCAGTGTAACAAGTATTCGAAAATTCGAAATCTTAGCGTCTTCGGTTCTCAGAAGCAAATATCCCATTTATTTATTGAATTTCTTTCAGAATTCTGTAATGTTTTTTTTATACCATTATGGTGGAAAACAAGCATACGACTCACATGATGGTAAGCGGCTACCGTAGCTTACGATTGCCTGTAATTACAGGGGCATTACGTGCGCTTTGCAAATCCTGAAGAATGCTCTATAGCTCTTTTTTTAAAAACCCCATGCTGTAGTCTTTTGGTAAAATCTCGACTCGAATCATTCCATAACCGGAATGTTCGTGGGAGGAAATATGTCTGAAATTGTGCTGTATGGTAGTAGCAGGCACATACTGGGTAGAGGTTTATCTAGCCCACCTATCGGGATCCATACGGTTAATTTGACTTACTTAACCTAAGTTAAGTTGAACTTGGGCAGACTTCTTATTATATTCATCGTTATCATTGCAGACCTTAACCGTCTACTGCTAAACATAAGCCTTCTTCATAGAGGGAATTTTGCAAGTAGATGCTACACTTGGGCGTGTGTTTTGAGAGGGACGCTGCTGCCCATCCCTCTAACATTATGTTCCTTTAATCGCCCTTTACGACAACCACAGGGAAGAAAGAGATGGTTTATTCTATGCCGGAACCGCACGGGACAATCTTATAATATTAATAGAATTAAATTTTGTTTCAGCTGCCGTTCCTGGTTTCGGTATCATAGTTGGTAACTTCATAATACCAAGTATAATGAGCAAGTATGGAAGGAAAATTGCAAATTTCGTCAGTGTCGTGAGCTGCATTATTGGTTGGGTATGCATTGTGTTGTCCAAGAGTGTCAATGTAATGATTGTTGCTAGATTTCTCCAAGGTGTCCAAATAGGTATGATGACAACACTGGGTCCAGTTCTAATCGGGGAATACACTAGTCCCAAAAGTCGTGGAATGTTTCTAATGACAATATCGGTAACAATAAGTATAGGAGTTTTTGTCATTCACACAATGGGAATTTATGTGAATTGGCAAGTGTCTGCATACGTTTGTATTGGTATTGCGGTGGTAGACATGATCATAGTCATATTGTCACCAGAATCACCGAGCTGGTTGGCTGAACAAGGAAGACATGAGGAATCTAAAAACGTATTTAGGTACCTGAGAGGTGATAAGGAAGAAGATGAATTGGAAAAGATAATTGCAGCGAGTATTGTTAATAAAAAACAAAAAGAAGATAATATAGCACATGATAATTTCGGAATAAAGATGAAAAATAGGATAAGATACATGAAAGAGACAGTGCAGAAAAGAGAGTTTTATCTCCCTGTACTTATAATGCTGCATGTGTTCACAATTGTGCATTGGAGTGGCATAAATATGCTGACGTCTTATATTAATGAACTTACTGATAACGTAATGGGTTCCCAATCAAATTTTGATGTTATTGTAATTACTTTAGATATCTTAAGAATATTGTCAAACATGATTGGTTTGGTCTTAGTTAAGAAGGTCCGAAGAAGACTTCTTATATTTATAACTATTGGTATTAATTTAGCAACTTTACTTCTAATAGCTGGTTATACATTTGCCAAACAGAAAGATATATTGCCATATGATAATCCTTACATTGGTATGTTTGTGATATACTTGCATATGTTTTCAATAGCTACAGGTGCGTTGCCCATGGCGTATGTTCTTGCTGGTGAAATATTCCCATTACAATACAAAGGGCTGTGTGGAGGCATCAGCACATTTACCATGTCGATGAATCTCTTCATCAACACGAAAACTATAACGATATTATGTAATACAATTGGCTTTTCTGGAACGTATTTGTTGTATTCTGGAGTTGTCGCCTATTGTCTTACTATGGTTGGTATATTACTGCCTGAAACTAAAGATAGGACACTTTTAGAAATTGAGGAGGAGTTCAGAGGGAAGAGAATCATAGTAAATTGTTAATTCACATGTATTCTTGTATATTTTATATGTATTATTATAACAAAATTAAAAACAACTACATAAATTATGTAGATATTACTTACTTATATGGAGGATATATAGATTGTAATGTAAAATTAATTATTGTATCTAGATACTTATGTATCTATTAAATAATAGTCAAGCATGAGTTAGGTTTACACACTTTTTGGTAGTTTGAAATGTTTTGTAAAACATGTTTTAGTTTTCTTTTTTAGAACACAGTGTAAACAAATATGATTTAGGTGTAAACGAGTGTAAATGTATTATTTCTTATGTGCAAAATAGCCTTCTAAAGAAAAGAGTATTAAGAAAATCGGTAGGTTTAAGAACACTAGATTATGCTAATATTTTAAGTGCATTGCAATGTACGCAAATCGTATGACGACTGCCTATTTTTATTACAAATAAATTAGAACGGTTTGCTGGAAGAAATCTCTTGTTAGATAAATGCTTGCTTTTGTAAAAATAAATGTTTTTGTCATTATGTTTGTGTCCAATAAAGAATTAAGGATTGGAGCTGATGTAGTTGAGTTGAGGTAGTTCAAAATCTACTTAAGTAGTATTGAAACAGAGCAGAACTATTTTATATAATTTGAAATAATAAATAAGTAGAAAAGGGTATACTGATCAAATGAAGGTGACATGATGGCAGAGATTATGGTCCTTGCCTTTCTTGCCTAAGGCGTAACTTACTTATTCCGTAAAGGAATATAAATTATTATAGGTAGGGAGATGTTTATTGCATTTTAAAGTTTCTATAATAAGACTATCGCTAATCAAATGCAAAGTAATGATACTCATCGATTGTGGAAACCATAACATGGTTACATTTTCAATGTTATGGCCTCCATAACACTAGCGCTGTAGGAAGTAAATTTGTTGTAGCGTAATTCTGTTTGAGAGAAATCCATCTATGTATATCTATTTAGAATTGCCTATTTATTTTCTGTCTGTAATATTTTTAAGTATTTATTTATATTTATTTAATTTGATAAAGTGTTCAGACGGATTTATGTGACAATACCAATTATAGTGTACGTAACATTGTTACTGTTTTTACATACTGTAATTACATTGCGAAGAGTAAATCTAAATAAAGCCACAATAAACTAGCCCACCGGTTTTGGATTTTTGTTAATTATATTTATAAATATAAAAAATATATATATATTGGATATGTCCATCTATTTAAGAGCTGCGCTCTTGTCGGTGGAGCTCTTGCCACTCACTACGATTGTCAACGAGTCTCTTCACTTCTTGATACGACACGACACCAACTCCTTCCTTGATCTGCCTGATGTAACTATGTCTCGGTCTCCCTCTCCCCCTCGTTCCTTCTATCTTACCTTCTATTATAATGTTTATAAGTTCGTCGTGTCGTATCAAGTGTCCCAACATTTTTCCCCTTCTGTCCTCAATAGTTCTAATGATTTGTCTTTTTTCCTTAACCCTAAGCAGGACCTTCTCATGGATATACTAAAATTAATCAAATAGATTGCATGAAGAGATGCATAAATGTTGTGAAAAGAAAGCATTTTAGAATAAGGAGCACATGGAGTTTTGTGGTCTTCATATATCAATAAGGTTAAAATGGGTAAAGCAATAACAATAACAAAAATTTACCTTTAATTTTTGTTTTTTTTTTACCTGTCTTTGGTCATTTAGTTCGTGATTTTACAGTTTCTAGTTTCAATAAAATAAAATAAAACTAAGGTATTAATAATATTTATATATTTAATTATAAAAAATACTAAAAGTATGTCTATCAATAGGCTAGTACCCGAAGTACAAGTATTGCTTAGTTTGGGACTAGGTGGCGCTGTGATGGTGCAGTGCAGAACTTTACTAGTTGATCTACTTGCAGCAACTTTTTAAGCTGGTGCTTGACTTAATTCGGTGACTTGCATTGGTGTCAATTCATCATTTTGTGATACAACCGTCATTTCATAAGGCTTTGTCCAATATTCTTCTTCTATATTTTGAAGGGTTTTATCTTTAGTCTCTGGTAGCATAATCGATGCAACTATCAACGCATAAGTCAGTATTAATGCGTAAATTGAAAAAGCACCGTGTATTCCAATAACATTGACCAAGTAAGGAAACGTTTGCATTTTTAACGTGATATTGAGTGATGCAAATAGAGTTGTTATCATGGTGGATATTTCTTTGTATTCTAAAGGAAATATCTCGCTAGATATGGTGCACATTAAAGGCATTGTTCCCGCACAGAAGGAAAATACAAACAGGTATGTTAGCGTCGAACCGACTACGATGTTTTCAAAAATATGTTCCTCCCTAAGGTACGAATACCCTGCTATTGATGCATAAGTCAATATATTCATTCCAACGAACAATTTAAGAGCAGCACATCTCTTTAGTTTCGTATGTATATGGATGGCACATACACTTGATAGAATTTTCAAAGTATCCAAAACAATCACGTTCTTAGACACATTAATGTCATGGCCCAATATCTTGTGCAGTATATCAATGGCGTACGTTTCTATTGTCGTGTATCCGCACCATAATTCTATTACATCTAAGTGTAACATTAATATAAGTGGTTTGTAAAAGTCTGATCTCTTAAAATAATCTATTACGTACAATAACCCTTTGTTTTTCTCATTTCCATTTTCATTGTTAGCATCAGACTTTGCTTTCTTCGACACAGCAGCTTTTATCATTGCATTCAATTCGTCTTCTTCATCGGGACCATGCAGCCAGCGGAACACCTTCCTACACTCATCATATCTACCATGCTTGGCTAAAAACACAGGGGTCTCTGGTGATAAACTCACGATTGTTGCATCTAAAATTGCTACCGCTAGGCAAAATAGAGCTGTTCGGTTCCAAACAAGAAATGATCCAATCATGTGAACCATTAAACTTCCAAGTAGGATGGAAAACATCATTATTGACAAGAAAGACCCTCTGTACTTTGGTGATGTATATTCTCCAATTAATATCGTCGCTGACATACTTGAGAGGCCAACAGCTGCACCCTGGAGGATCTTTGATATTAGTATAACATTGACATCGGAAGCTAAGGAAATGCAGGTCCAACCGATTATCATGAACACGGCACTGACTAAGTTTGCTTTTCTTCTGCCATACCTTCTCATTATGAAAGGGCACATCATCACACCGGGGAAAAATGATAATGCGTTGATTGATGCTGAAATTGATAATAGTATTCTTTTAGAATACAATAGAATACAATAGAATACTTAATTTGCTTTCAATAGACGATAATAAATTGATTTAATGCCAATAAATTTTGTATTAAATTATTTATTACTAAGTACACATAATATTTTAATGTCACAATTACTGGTTTAACGTATGTGTAACATGTGTGTAACGTATGTGTGTGTGTGTTTGTTTTCTAGTTTCAAGATCAATTTGTAATCCTTAATCACGAGCGGCTGTGACGCAAATGCGAACTTGACTCCCATTTCCCTTTTTTTTTATTCCTCGCATTTCAGATCGTCACTCCATCTAGGGTTAATAAAATAAATAAATAATATAAATATGATATGCCTAAACAATTTTAATGAAAATTTTGAATGTAACTTATTGTTTGCTCCAACTTGAGACATGGGATCGTCCTCAAATGGTCATCTTTACCTTCCTTGGAGGGTTAGGTGGGGGCCTCGGGGCGGACCCCTTTACCCCGGCATCAACTCTGGGGGTAACTATACCCGGGTCACTGACTCCAAACTCTTCCCGTTTGGGTGAGGCGTGGTATTTTTAAGAGAGAGAGATAGGATAATTTTTATTCCTGTGAGAAATAAATAATCCGATAGGTGGCGGTAAGGAGCAATCAATGTTTGTCGAATCAGTGGAAACCATTTAACTAATTTTATAAATGCAAAAGTGAGTTTGTTTGTTACACTTTAAAGTTCAAACGGCTGAATTGATTGTGATAAATTATTATACAGAGATAGATAGGACCCTGGACATGATAGGTTACTTTTTCTTCGTTTATTGAACTTATCATGGTCACGCGAACGAAGTCGCGGGTTAAATCTAGCTAATATATATGACGTCAATGAAAAGAAAAACACCTATGTACATGTAATTCGGTGTCACAGTATAATAGTCGACACATTCATTATTAAAAGGAAGCGAAGTACATAAAGTGGATTATTGTTTTTTGATAACGCAAAACTATAAATTTAATTAACTGATAAATTGTTGTCTGTATTTATGTGTATGTATTTGTAAATTAAGGACTTTAACTATTTTATCGCCCCGGGTACTTACATTTATTTTCTTTTGATGTCCACGACGCTGGTCACCAATGTGTGATGGTTACCAACTATCCATCAAGTGGGCCGTCATTTTAAAAAACCGACTTCAAAAATAAAGAGTGTCTCAACTCTGTTATATTTTTTTACGTTTTTTGCTTCCTAATTGGCAGTTGCGTTTGCATGTCTGTGTTTCGGTTTGAAGGGTGGGATATGGCGTGAATTTACAGGGTACAGAGGAATAACACCCGAGTCCTCAGGAATGGCAACGCATGGGGGGTATCATGGGCGAAACAGTATACTCTGTTATGTCCACGGTACTGCTCATGTCTATAGGCGACGGTTACCACTTTCCATCAGGTGGGCCGTCAGCTTGTTTGCCATTCAAAGTTTTATAAAAAAAAAAAACATATTTACAGATTGGTCCCGTAGAAATTTTATCGAAATCGGTTCAGTACTTTAGTTTTCAAATCACAATAAGCGGTTTCATCGTAATTGTAGTTGATTTTTTATTACGGAATACTTTCTTTAACTATTTGCTATACCAATTTGTATTTTTTTTAATAGAAAGATGATGGAATGGGATGTATGGATGCCAGCGTTATCGGTACACACTGGCGGGGCACCAGTGAGGATTAACAGGTGTGAATGTAAAGGCAGGCCAGTTAGTCCACCATGATGAATACCTTTATTTTTACCCGAGCAGTAAGTGCTTTATATTATTCTCAATTTCGTGTATAATATAGTATATATCATATATGTGTAAGTATATTTGTTATTCATATATATTTATTCGTTTATATATGTAATTTTAGTATGTATGTATATCAATAATTAGTAGTACCGCATTCGAGTATTCTGACACTTCCCTATGGTCGACTGGGAGAGAATGCTTTTAGCATTAAGTCCGCCATGTACACATATTTGTACTAATGAATAAATAAATAAATGAATACACCTACACAATTTAGCACGATGGTTTCTAGGAGAGCACGTGCAGGTCAATTTGACTGGGTATACTGCCAGCAATGAAACTGGTAGTCCTACTACGTTACTAACAATCCCTTCCCCCCTACCAATTGGTATTTTAAACAAGTATATAAGAGCTTTACCTATCCATGATTCAATGTAGATATTTGTTTTCATGCTCGGGTCTTGTCGTAACTGCGGCAGTAGTATGGCGGTGAAACCGAGCACCATGCTGTGCTCCGCCATGCTGAGGGAGACGCCAGCCGTCACCAAGCTCTGATGGAGAGGAAACGTTTATTTTTATTTTACAACCAAAATTTCATCCGTGATTTTTTTTTATACAACTTAGAATGGCAAACAAGCTGACGGCCCACCTGATGGAAAGTGGCAACCGTCGCCTATAGGCATGAGCAGTACTGTGGACATAACAGAGTATACTGTTTCACCCATGATACCCCCCATGCGTTGCCATTCCTGAGGACTCAGGCTGAGACCCAGTAAATTCACGCCATATCCCACCCTTCAAACCGAAACACAGCCATACAAACACAACCGCTTCAAGGTCGAAACACGAATGGGACAGAGGTACCCAAGCAATCGACTTTTGTACAAAGTCTCCCTCTGGTAAATACGTGGATTTTGGATAAGGTAGGAGGTAATCACTTTTAGATGATGTATTACACCACATTTTAAATGTTCAGGAATATAACTGTAAAAATTTTATCCAATTTGGTAAAGTAGTTTTTTTGTAATGCCGGAATAAATATGCCAACTGACAGATAAAAAATGTAAAAAAATATTGTTTTTTATCGTCTACTCTTATTAAGACCCACTTATATTAATTTTTCTTTCATATCTTCTATAAAGATGGGTTATGGCGTGAATTTACTGGGTACAGAGGAATAACACCTTCAGTCCTCAGGAATGGCAACGCATGGGGGGTATCATGGGCGAAACAGTATACTCTGTTATGTCCACGGTACTGCTCATGTCTATAGGCGACGGTTACCACTTTCCATCAGGTGGGCCATCAGCCTGCTTGCCATTCTAAGTTGTATAAAAAACATCGAAACATTTTTAGTTTATGATGAACATATTCAGATTTAAATTAATAGCCGTGTGGTCCCGGCATTGAATAGGCCACCCCTTCCTTTCCCGACTAAGGGAACTCTATGACCGAGAGATGAACAGCAGCGTCTCTCTTAAAACACCTCTAAAAACCTAACTGCGGTTGCCAACCCGCCTGTCAAGCAACTACTAACAAAACTCCCTTTATCGAGAAGGCTTACGTCCAGCTGTGGACAGTTAACGGTTGAAAAAATAATAATAAAAAATTAAAAAAAATACTAATAATAATAAAAATTCTTCATCTAAAAAAAGCTACATTAACAGGGAACAAACCTATAGCCAGTATTAAAAAATAAATCCAAATAATTTGTTATTCAGTAAAAATTCACTTACCTGCCTCAGCAGGTGTACGAGTCGTGTCTTTGAGTTCATCTCGAGTTTTAAAATAGCAAATAAATGTAACTATATCTCGTACTATATATATCGAGCTATTTATACGACAAATTAAAACAGAATTAATTGTGTAGTTAAAAATAAATTCAAGTGTAAATTACTCATACGTCCGGAGAAAATACATGTACATGTTACATTTTATCTATTCAGAATGTTACGTATAATTAATCTTATTTAGAATTCTTTAAATATAAATAAAAGTTTATTTTCTATCGTCGAGCCACGTGCTGTTTTCCCGTGTGGTCCCGGCGTAAAATGGCTTACCCTTTCCTTTCCCTTGGGTGACGTAAGAGGCGATTAAGGGAACTTAATAGTCGAGGAATGGGACGGGACGGGATTCATCCTCACTTATCATCCCTCACTGGTGGCCCGTCTGTGTATATTGTTAGCGCGGGTGGGATTCCATTATCATGAATATGACAATGGAATCCCACCAGTGTTTCGCCCATGATACCTCCCATGCATTACCATTCCTGAGGACTCAGGTGTTATTCCTCTATACCCAGTAAATTCACGGCATATCCCACCCTTCAAATCGAAACACAGCCATGCAAACACAACTGCTTCACGGTTGAAACACGAATGGGACAGAGGCACCCAAGCAATAGACTTTTGTACAAAGTCTCCCTCTGGTACAAGTAGTTCCCATCCTTGGCAGACGGGTTGGCAACCGCAGTTGGGCTTTAGAGATATAGAAGGTAAGATAAGATAGAAGGGACGCTATTGTCCATCCCTCGCTCTCCCTTACTCCTTAGTCACCTCTTACGACACCCACGGGAAAGGAAGTGGTGGCCTATTCTATGTCGGCACCACATGGCTAACTTTCTATTGCTGTCATAAAAAACCCCATTATCATTTCTTTAATTTTTTTTTATGTACAGACATTGTTTACCCACAATATCATTTTATTACTAAGATTTAACACTAGTGTAGTGTATTGCTATTTCAAGTTATCAGGCGTATGGTTTTTTTTTTTTGGGTTGATAATGGAATGGTTTCTTCTCTGAATTGGAAAAGCGTACTATATTTATGTATGATTTTTAAATCTTGCTCAGAGTTGAATTTCTAGAACAACGTTACCTGATAGAGAGAGAGAGAGGTTCCCCTCTCTCTCTCTCTCTATCAGGTAACTCAGTAATTTTTTTTTGATGGGTGAAAATGGTATGGTAACCCTGCCTGCGCTGCCTGCCGCCTGCGGGATACGCTGGCGGCGCACCAGTGAAGGGTAATAGATGAGAATGAAAACAGGCCAGTTAGCCCATCATGATGAATTCATCAGGAATTAACCATGATAGTTTCCAGGGGGAACCGCGACGAGGTCGACCTGGTTGGGTATATTGCTAGCAATGGGATTCTCAGTCTCCATTACTAACAATCCCTTCCCCCAAGGTAATTCTGTAATTTGATGATGAAAATGTTGTTGTAATAATATATAGGTACATATTTAAAAAGGCATTCCCAAAGAGGGTTGACGTCAGGCAGGCGTCCGGTCGTAAAACCATAAGTCAAATTCTTTAGTAATATGGATAAACCCAGGGGGGAAGGGATTGTTAGTAATGAGGATTAATGGCCCCATTGTTAGTATGCCCTGTCAGGCCGACCTCCACGCGGTTCCCCCTGGAAACCATTTTGACTAATACTTCTTGCATTCGTCACAATGGGCTAACAGACCTGTTTTCATGCTCATCTATCATCCCTCACTGGTGCCCCGCCAGTGTACCATATACCATTATCATCCATTAAAAAAAAATATGGATAAAACCATATTACGCCGACCTCAAATAATAATTGGGTAGGAAATGGTGATATTTAAAAAGGTATACCTTTTATTAGCTATATACGTATATTTATGTTTATTTATTGTAATCTTATTTTTATATAAATTATATTTAGAATGTTATGCATTTTATTTAAGAATAAGAATATCTTTATTTCCTTTAACAAAATTAGCCTATGGTACAATATAGCTATGACCCCACACTAGGCGAAGCCTGTCTCGTGGAAGTCAACGTAAGTAATTTTACAGTTATGGTGCGGCGAACAGGGTTAATCTAATTATATAATGTTTCATGTAAGTTTGGGTACACGTAGGTGCATGGTATTGCGTGTGCGTGTGCGCGTACGAGTACGCGAGTGTGTGCGTGTGCTTGTGTGCGTATGTGCGTGTGTGTGTGCGTGTGTGCATGTGTGCATGTAGTGTGCGTGTGTGCATGTGGTGTGCGTGTGTGCATGTAGTGTGCGTGTGTGCATGTGTGCGTGCGTGTGTGCGTGTGTGCGTGTGTGCGTGTATGCGTGTGTGCGTGAGTGAGTGCGTGCGTGCGTGCGTTCGTGTGTATGTGTGTGCGCGTCCGTGTGCGTGCGTGTGCGTAAGTGAGTGTATGCATGCGCGCGCGCGCGTGTGTGTGTATGTGTGCGCGCGCGTTTGTGTGTGTGTGTGTGTGTGTGTGTGTGTGTGTGTGTGTGTGTGTGTGTATGTGTATATATCTTTTGTATTTACTGCGTCTTACTAGCGCCATCTACCTTTCTCTCTGTACTTATCTACTATTTATGCCAGGTTGTCTGTAAGAGATTTCTTTTAGCGATAAGGTCGCCTTTTGTGTGTGCACATTCTGTATAAATACTCCTTGTATACGTCTTTATTGTGCGCAATAAAGAGTTTATTATTATTATTACACTTGACTTTGTTGGGCGGTCACGTGAATAGGGTCAGTGGTAGAAAAAAAGCAGAATTGAATTCGGGTATTGAAGCTGTTCTTGTACGACAACCGCCATTTTCTTTTGTTGGATGAAAATGGAATAGTAACCCTGCGTGCGCTAACGGTATACGCAGGCCGGGTACCAGTGATAGATGATAGATGAGAATGAAAAGGCAGGTCAGTTAGCCCATCGTGACGTATTTCACAAGAATTAATCACGACGTGGTTCTCCCACGTGGAGGTTGACCTGATAGTGTTTATTGCTAGCAATGGGGCTATAAGACCCCATTACTAACAATTCCTTCCCTCCTTAGGGATGATAGGTGAGGATGAAAGCAGGTCAGTTATCGTGACGAATTAACAACGATGGTTATCAGGAGAAACTGTGTGGAGGTCGACCTGATATTAATTGTATTACTAATAATCACTTTCCGCCAAAAACCGCCATTTAGGTAGGAACCAGTCGAGTACCTACTTCGAAGAAAAACCAGTGAAAGTATGTTGAACTTACGCAAGGCACGAGTTCCGCGGCTGAGTTATTACACTAGTAACGAGATAGCCACTGATAACATATCGATAGTTTATTTAATTATAGAATATGTTGATTCATGATCATTTAATTTGGTTTATTTAATAAATGTTTCCTTTATTTTTTTCTAATTTAAATATTTTTAATTTATTTAAAAATATTAATATTAGAAATTAACATTAATGCACTAAAGTGTGTTAATTTTAAAACTAACTTATAGTTTAATATAATAATCTATACCCTATTTTCTTGCTAAATCTTTGCGGGGTAGAGAGAACCATTTAATTTATTATGATTTATATTAATTAAATGTGAATAATGTAATGTAATTTAATTAGATAATTGTATTATAACGTTTTTAATTTTAATTCAATTTAATTAATTACAAATTAGTAAAAGGTTAGTAAGAGAAAATTAATACCATATATGTTAGATATTTATCATCGTCATATCAGACGTTAAATGTCCACTGCTGAACGTAAGCCTCCCCATAAAGGGGGTGTTGCCATTAGTTACCACGTTTGGCAGATGGGTTGGTAGCCGCAGTTAGGTTTTGGCGATGTTTTAAGAGGAATGCTGCTGTCCACAACTCGACTATTAAGTTGTAAAGGACTTCGCCTCTTACGACACCCATGGAAAATGTTGGATATTAATGAAAAGATATCCATGGTACTGCTCATGTCTATAGGCGACGGTTACCACTTTCCATCAGGTGGGCCGTCAACTTGTTTGCCATTCAAAGTTGTAGAAAAAAAGAATTAAAAATGTATGGGTAAAAATAATAAACATTTATTTTTCATTACCGTTTATTATATTTTGTAATAAACGGTGACTTCATTCTCCCTTTTATATTTAATTAGAAAATCCTATTAAAATATAAAAATATATATATACATAATTCGTATAGCAAATAAAAATGCTCTAGTTAAATGTAATCCAATGTGAAATTATCTGGCAAAAAGTCAATTAACCTAAATGTTTACCTCGACTTAGACTTTATCTGACATTTCTAATTGCTTCTCTGTAATGTATAATGATAATTTTCAATTATTGTATTTTTAATTTTATTAATTAAACCAGGAAAATTAAATTTATATATGAAAAGAGCGTCAGTGGAATTTCTTGTTCTTATAGGTTGTAACTACTTTCCAAAGAAGGTGGTAAAATTGAAAAATAATAGCTAACTTAAATTCTTACGTTTTAGTAAGTATATAGATAGATAAATAATGAATTTATTTATATCTACAGCACATACATATCAATAAAAGTAAATAAACATGCACAAAAAAAGAAAGAACATAAAAGAGTAACACAAATTAGAATGGTATGTGCGCCACAGTAACCCAGAATGATTACATTTTCTTGTAATGCAGTTAAGTACCGTTTAGGTATCTACTATTATAAAACATTTAACAAAAAAGTAAGTAAAGGCTTCTATTTAATTTCCAAGAGGAGATTTTTTTATTTGCTTATATGTTTTTTATATGTTACGAAGTATTTTCCTTAATTCTTTTATGATATTCATACTTGTTTTTGCTATCAAAAGGTTTCGTTCTTGTGCTGTGTAACTTTGTTCTGATTGTTTTGGCTGTTTATGTTCCTTGTAGAACAAAATTTACTTGTTAAATATAAATATTTTGTAATGTAAATTAAATAATTCTTACAGAGTTAAAATTAAGAATAATTATGTAAACGATTTATTAGTTAATACTAATATATACATTAATATAATATGAGCAGTGAGATTAATAGCGACAAATTAGGAATAAAATTTATTTATTTTAAACATTTGCAACATTGAATTGAACTTTTAGTTCAAGAGGACACTAAATATAAATTAATAGAATATTCTATTATTACGTACTACATATTTACTTTATACTATACAATATTTATTTAATGTAATTTAATTTTAATATATAAAATAATTAATATGTAAATAACTTATCGATAATCGAATAATATCGACATATTTATTATTTTGTCAAGCAATACTCCTACACTACAGAGAGATCGGTCATTTACTAACTAACCTATAGAGCAGGAGGTAGGGTCCTCACTTTTAAATATCGATATACGTGTCTATGGTAAATGAACTAGTGAGGTGCTGTATAGATTTGTTGTATATGTTTATTGTTATTTTTGTGTACATTTAGTGCTAGTGTTGTCTCTAGTAAATTGAAGTGTTTATAACATAGAATTATCGGAAATAGTAAGTGTTTTTTTTAATAAGTTATATACTTTAATATTATATTACCATTAGGAGTTTGTAGGTATATACTCTTAATACTTAGACTGTACACTACAACATTAGTAATAAAATATATATTTTTATGGTACTATATATACTGTATGACATCGGGACCAATTTGCATGATTATTTTTATTTTCTATTGTCTAAAGTAAATTTGATATTAACTGAAAAAGTTTATCGATTTTGGTTATATATTTGGCATAAACAATATAATATCCTGATCTAAAAAAAATTTAAACATAAAAGAAATCATACATAGTAACACGGGAGTAAACCTTATAGATTGAAAAAGATATCATCAAAATCGGTTCAATTAAGAATATTAAATTTATTCGTTTAAAGATATCGAAAAACATAATAAATATAAATGACCCCATTTTTTCAAATACATATATATTATTTATACGAGTTTTTTTTTTTACTAAATAGTTACGTTATTAAATATATTGTTTACTTATGTACATATATCTATATAAATAAAATAAAGAAGGTTTTTATTGATGGGTGAAAATGGTATGGTAACCCCGCCTGCGCTAACGGGATACGCTGGCGGAGCACCAGTGAAGGGTGATAGATGAGAATGAAAACAGGCCAGTTAGTCCATCATGATGAATTCATCAGGAATTACCCATGATAGTTTCCAGGGAGAACCGCGAGGTGGTCGACCTGGTTGGGTATATTGCTAGCAATGGGATTCTCAGCCTCCATTACTAACAATCCCTTTCCCCCTAAATGCCCCAATTAGGAGTCCCAAAAATTCCTAAGATTAATTCTGTAATTATTAATTGAATCACGGAACAGATAGCTCAGTATTATCTTCAAATATTAGCTAAATACAATCGAAAAACTACTGTATCGAATAAAAAACAAAGTGTATATTTGTACGTCGCATTTTGACCTCTAAACGCGATAATGAACCTTGTTTCAGGGTGAAACAAAAATAGTTGTGGTTGGGACATAAATATACACAGTAATGCGCCGGCTCCTAATTGAATCTGTTTGTTTGTATATAAGTGATGTGTGAGAACACTGGTTTGCTCTAATTATTACGACAGGTTTATATTTAACCGACTTCAAAACGAAGAAGTTTCTAAATTCGGTCGCCCATTGTTTTCTCATTGTAATTATTTCTTATAATTGTTTATAACTAGAATAAGTTTACTATTGTAATCTTTTGGAGGTAACAATAAAGAGTATCTATCTATCTTTTTTATACCAATGAAGGGCAAACAAGCATACGACTCATCTGATGGTAAGCGGTTACCGTAGTCTATAAACGTCTGCAATACTAGGGGTATTATGCGCGCGATACCGACCCTGAAGAAACCTTTTTAACCCCTTCCCATTTTTGATGTTCGTTACCTCATAACTCCGTCATTTATAAACCAATTTGGAAAATTCTTAAATAAATATACTTACAGATTAGTGTGTTTGCATGGCTGTGTTTCCGTTTAAAGGGTGGGGTATGGCAGTGAATTTACAGGGTACAGAGGAATAACACCTGAGTCCTCAGGAATGGCAACGCATGGGGGGTATCATGGGCGAAACAGTATACTCTGTTATGTCCACGGTACTGCTCATGTCTATACGCGACGGTTACCACTTTCCATCAGGTGGGCCGTCAGCTTGTTTGCCATTCTAAGTTGTATAAAAAAAAGTATTGCTAGCTAGCTAAATGGGGCCGCTAATTTCCACTCATAACCAGCCGATTCATAGCTTACCTACTTATATACTGCGACCGTTCTTTTGCTAGTTGTTAAATTGATGTCTGGTACCAGTCAAACTGGTTCAGCACCAGACCAGTCGAGGACTATGAACCCGAAATAAACTCGAGCCATTTTTAAGCGTTATTTCTTTTTAAATTTTATTGGTTTTCTAAATGTTGGTGTGCTTTAACCTTGAACTTGTGACTGCTATGGAACACATAGCAAAATTAATACATAATATTTAAATATTCATATATGATCCTATTTGGATATAATTTAATATTTTTTTATGCCATTGGCTTGATGGTAAGCGGTTACCGTAGTCTACGAAGGCCTGCAAGAACAGGGGTATTTTTTTTTTTGATGGGTGAAAATGGTATGGTAACCCCACCTGCGCTAACGGGATACGCTGGCGGAGCACCAGTGAAGGTTGATAGATGAGAATGAAAACAGGCCAGTTAGCCCATCGTGATGAATTCATCAGGAATTAACCATGATAGTTTCCAGGGGGAACCACGAGGTCGACCTGGTTGGGTATATTTCTAGCAATGGGATTCTCAGTCTCCATTACTAACAATCCCTTCCCCCCCAGACCAGAGGTATTAGGCCTAACGAAACCTGAAGAACCCTATGCTGTAGTCTCTTGAAAAAACCTCGACAGAGGGAGTACATCGTTTGGATGTAACTCACTACTTCCTATACCATTGTGTTTTTCTTTTCAATGGATTAAAATGGAATGGTAATCCCGCCTGCGCTATCGGTATACGCTGGCGGGACACTGATGAGGGATGTTAGGTGAGAATGAAAAGGCAGGTCAGTTAGCCCATTGCGATGAATACACCTAGAATTCAACATGATGGTTTCTAGGGGAGACCACGTGGAGGTCGACCAGACAGGGGTTACTAGCAATGGGATGCCCGCATTACTAACAATCCCTCCTCCCCGTACAGTGTGGTGGTAAAGGGGTAAACTCAAATGAAAGCTTAGACTGTGAAATGAGCTCTCTGCCGAGGTTTTCCCTAGGGACTGCAGTATGGGGTTCTTCAAACAGAGTGTATTAAGGTTATCTCAGGGTTGGCAATAAGTACGTGACACTCCTGGAGTTATATGCATCCATAGTGGTAACACTATGTACGCCTTATGCTTGAATTGGTAAACGATTGACTATAAGACGGGTCATATGGAGAGGGAGACTTTGTACAAAAGTCGATTGCTTGGGTACCTCTGTCCCATTCGTGTTTCAACCGTGTAGCAGTTGTGTTAGCATGGCTGTGTTTTGGTTTGAAGGGTGGGATATAGCGTGAATTTACAGGATACAGAGGAATAACACCTGAGTCCTCAGGAATGGCAACGCATGGGGGGTATCATGGGCGAAACAGTTTACTCTGTTATGTCCATGGCTCATGTATATAGGCGACGGTTACCACTTCACATCAGGTGGGCCGTCAGCTTGTTTGCCATTCTAAGTTGTATAAAAAAATAAAAAAAAATATGTCTCCATATTTATATAAAAAATTGACTAATTTTGTCACACTGTTTTAATTCAATATATTTAACAGGAAGTGATTGTTGTGATAGATCAGTCTATTGTATTGTGACCTTGTACTTTTACGCAGTCGGTTAGCTGGGTCGTTAAACTACTGAGTGTTACGTTCAAGACCAAATTGATAATAAGTCGATTATATAATTATGATAATTAAATTTTTAATAAAAAACCGACTTTAAATATGGCAAAATCGGTTATTTCGATTTAAAAACTAAACTGCTGAATTGATTTTGATAGAATTTGTATGAGACTTATCAGTGAATATGCCCTTTTAGATAAAAAAAAAAAAGATTTTCCCAAATCGGTATACAACTGACGGAGTTATGAGGTGACAAATATAAAAAAAAAATACAACCGAATCGTGAATCTCGTTCTTATATATATATATATATATATATATATATATATATAGGCCTCTCCTTAGACTACCATAAGGAACGGTTCTGAACCACCTACATCATGGGTGTCATAGTATATTTTGTGATATCTGTGATGCTGTTCATGTCTATTGGCGACGCCAACGGTCTTTATGATATAATATATAATTTTTATATGTCTCTATATATATATATATATATAGACACACATAAAAATTATTGCTAATGTAACCTTTGGGTAGAGGAAAAAAGAAAACAATGAAAAAACGTTTATTTTTATATAAATATATATATATATATATATATAAAGACCTGAAAAAGGAAAATATGTTCTGAATCAGTGTATATCATTCACGCGGAAATGTATGTATATATACAATACACATACAAATAAAAGAGGTGTTAATTTAGCGTCGTGTCTGGATTTCATTTTTGGCGTGCTTATATCGTATCTACCTTTATGATAACTCATGTGTATATTGATTTTAAATGAACATGTTAATCGCCACAATAATATCAGAAAAGTTTCACATGGGCCATGGTAACTTTATTAGATAATTTAGTTAAAAATGTATCAAGGAAACTTAATGTATCACAGATTTTTTTTGTTTTTTGCCGAAATTCCCGGAAGAACACTTTTTTTTTATATACAACATAGAATGGCAAACAAGCTGACGGACCACCTGATGGAAAGTGGTAACCGTCGCCTGTAAACATGAGCAGTACCATAGACATAACAGAGTATACTGTTTCGCCCATGATACACCTCATGCGTCGCCTTTCCTGAAGACTCAGGTGTTATTCTGTACTCTGTAAATTCACTGCCATATCCCACCCTTCAAACCGAAACACAGCCATGCAAACACAACTGCTTCACGGTAGAAACACGAATAGGACAGAGGTGCCAAAGCAAACGACTTTTGTACAAACTCTTCCTCTAGTATCTGGTGGTACGATACGTATTTCCGAATATAGATTTTGTTTTACAACAACCAGTTTTTGCTCCGCATAGATAGTCGTTTATCTTTAACTTTAGTTATCACAAAATATACTGCAAAAAGAATTATAAGGATCAGTTCAAAACTGGCAATTACGTTGCCTGATAACACAACTGCTATAAAATCTGTCAACACGTTTTTGGGTAAAAAAAATACATTAAAAAAGGCAACACTAAATAAGGAAACAGAATAATATGAGTAATATTGGACAAAAAGTCATTTAATGATCTGGCAATTGCGAAACGATAATTAACAATAGAAATAATATTTTTAAATTCAATCAACACGCGTGACTAATAAAATAATAAAGTTCCCAGAATCTACGAGTATA